TATTGTGCATATTAACTACTAATTTGCTTAATTAGTTAATTTGTCCTAAGAACCACTCATTGAATTTTAATGAAACTTTTAAAGAGTGCTCATCACATTTCAATGAACCTACATTGTGTAGGACTATACACCATATTAGTTTTGGTAAATATTTATGCTTCTTAATCACCTAATTAACATAATTAATTAATACTGATATCTCAAGTATTGATCATCACATTTGAATAAAACTTGGTACATAAATGCTCTATGACAATAGACAGCCTGATTAATTTTGGGTTAAAATCTGTTCATATTAATTCTCTTAATTAGCACAATAATTAATAATTTTTTGGTTCTAATCACATTTCAATGAAACTTGGTACATAGATATTACATTACGCAGATCTTATTACTTTTACATTGCGCAGACCTTATTAGTTTTACACTTAAATGTGTTCATATTAGTTACCTTATTTGCATAATTAGTTTTCTGCATTTCCATCAATATCTCAAGTTCAAGTAATTTTGAATTAATTTTTAATGCGTCTCCAATACTCTCAGCACACAGGAGTTCTTTCTAAGCTTTCTTTGATTCTTATTCTCGTCATACTCAAATCAATTGAGCTATTGGCGACACCATGATTCTTTTAATCCACACATTATGTACAGTTTCCCAGTATTTTATCCATTCTGGGCCAAAATCATTTATTTAATGTTTAAATCACTTGATTTGTATTTATTTATTGATAGGAGTGTAAATAAAATTGCTTTGTTGAGTCCCCTCATCAGTTTTCTTACTTGTTTTGACAAGTTTACACAACTACTACAAGCTTTAAATGTGTTTGTAAGGAGTTTTACATAGTCCTCTAAAACCCCAACAATTGTATTCTTTTTGGTGGTTACAATAACATTTATCAACCAGACTTGTATAAATCTTGTATGTATCAAGAAATCAATTGGTTTACCTGGTATTTGTTGCATCACTCTACTATTCTGATTTAAGGGCTTTTATCAGATCATCAACTCTATCAAGTCTCTTATGTAGATTATTAATAATATCAGTGGCATATTCACCCATGGCAGTTACCTATTCATGTTGTGTTTTGTTTAGAAGATCCAACACCATTTTTGCATTTGTTAAAACACTTGCTCCATTTCATTTGTCAATTTTCTCCTGCCCTGGAAATGTCGCTGCTTGTGGTTCTTGATTATGTATGTTTGTGGGTAATAAAAAAGCTCGACAACGGGCAGATTTAACTTATGTTTTATCCAAGATTATTATATTACAAACAGCAGAATATCCATAGTTCACCACAAGAGGGCAGCTAACTAACACATGACAGGATATTTTGTATCAAATGTACGAAACTACAAGCAGGTATTATTATGTGATTACAACTCAATAGAATATATTGTGATTGATTCATTTAATGTTGCATCGCAGCAAGAGACATGACTTTTCTGATTTTTTGTGATGGTGCGACCATTGATCATGTGCCAACACCATACTAGAAATCACATTTTGTTTTTGACTAAGTGTTGGTATTCACATATTAAAAAGCGGTGGTCCTCGCACCACGCATGCATGCACAAGATATGGGACTCGTATGAACAAAGATGGAGACATTGACTGTACAAACTGAGGCGTTACTAAGCTTTAACTATGTAATTCCTTCAAGTCATTTGAAGGTATCGAAAGAGTCACCAGTAGGTGAGGTCAAAACTTATACTCACAAGTTCCGTCAGAAGAACACATGGGATTGTGGGGGAAAAAATCATTGTTTATCGGCACAACAGCGTGGTACTCACAGACTGAACTCTGATGCAATAGGACAGAGAAAATGAACTCATAACATGAACACTAACTGATTTGAATGCCCTGATGCTACCTATCCAGATTATTGTTTAGCTATTCATGAATTCACAAGGTATAATTCCTCTGCTATAGTTTCAAACTCTACATAAATAATTTGGCTACGAATTTGAATAAGTTTGTACGTGGTTATTTATGCCACACTAATTATGAATTAGAGTTTTGTAAAATTGTTGCAAATAGCAGTGCTGTGCTGTACTATTACACAATACTGCAATGGGGGTATGGACCAGATGTGTATGTGTGAAAGCATTATGGTCAATTTGCCTTGCAATTACTGTATGACAAGTGAAAATGTGCTGATCTGGCATTCTCTACTGGACACAAGAAAAAAAAACATGACTTAATTTTTTCGATGTTTATTACCGATCATGATAGTAAAATAAAAAAACATGCAGACATAATGAATCAATGGTTAGTAATATTTCAGTATTTGATCTAGAGATTAAATTATTAACTATTATATTAACTAATAAATATCCTTTTAAATTAAAAATATTATGAGATTATACTATTATAAATTTGTATGTTCTGGTGGGAATAATTTAAAGGATAAAAGCACATGGAAATAACTACATTGTGATTTGCGCAGGCAGACAATTCTAAAACATTTCTAAGACATAATTTCATTCCTTTAATTTCTTAAGATCATATTTAAAATTTACTTGTACATGAATTTTTATTATAATTGACAACTGGTTTGTTTCCATGGCAAACAACATTCCTGTGAACTCATTAAATCACATTACAATGAGTGGGAGGGCATGTCAAGTCTTCTGTTCAATACAATCTGTAACTTGTATTCTTTTAAAAGAACTATTGCACATTGCTAACTAACTACACTATTCTAACTTTATAAATATGGGCTACACTGCAATCATAGTCAGCTGAAATACACCAACAGACTAATTGCAATCTAGTCATCACTACTTACCTTAACAATATGGGCTACACTGAAATGAATCCTATAAATCATTTGCATGTACAATTCTTGAAATAATATCATTTGATCTTAGATTCTTCAGTCAGCTTATACTTAGGAGTACATGGTTACGTGCATGAACTGAAAAAAACAAAAAACAAGCAATTGTTAATGTCATTGTCCCCATTTAGTTTTTAGTGACTGTGACAATTAATTATAAACAATGAAAGATGTAGATAGATTATAATCAAATGTTGGGAGAGTAATCATCATGTTCATCAATATCTTGCTCAATTTTTTTTATATAAAAATGGCCTCCTGTCAGTCAGAGGTCAACTAGATGATGTACATATGTGTCCCATTGTAATTTGTATTTGTACCAAATTTTTGAACAGTCCAGTCATATGTGAGAAATGAGCCCCCATTAAATTAACTTTTAATGCAAACATACACAAATCATTTGTGTGGTACTCCAGTGAAATTAGATACCGCTAAATCAGAGTTAGACCCGAATCATAATCAGAGTTAAACCCGAATCATAATCAGAGTTAGACCCGAATCATAATCAGAGTTAGACCCGAATCATAATCAGAGCTAGACCTGAATCATAATCAGAGCTAGACCCGAATCATATGGTATATGACTGTAGTTCACTAAAAGGTAATTCCTACATTGCGACAGTCATTATGCATAAGACTTACTTCATCAACAGCCATTCTCGTTTGCCCACCAGATTCATGTTCATTGAAAGCCCCTGAAAAGACAATAAAATATTTTCATTACAGGATGTTAACAGCATTTTCTTGACTGTTAATATGTCACTGAATTTCCTCTACGACAAGCACATCAATTACAGCGGCGCGTGCGACGATTGAATTACAAATTTAGTTTTTGGTACACGTGCACAAGATGTGGTGCGACGTACACCCTTATAAACAGGTGAACCTTGATACTTTTTTATACATGTGGTTGAATTGATCGATTTAGCCAAGGCCTACTTACTGAACATTCCTTTCATTTTCACAGAGCAGTGTATGAAACTGTTGAAATCAATTAGACCACTCTTGTTGCCATAACGAAGAACTAAAGCACCAAACGCTTTGTGGCTCAGTCGGAAACCTGGGTTAAACAAAATAAATTATGAAGTTCATGTCAGAGAATGAAGTGTAGTCAATATGTATGATATTAATGGAACAATACGGTCATGATAGACCATGTGACGATCATGTCCGGCACATTGTGAATGAAATACTCACCCACACTGCGAAGAGCTGCACGTAGTTCATGGGTGTTGAAAGAACCAGAATTATCCCTGTCAAACTCCCTGAATATCAACTAAAAAAATAAACAATATAACCACTATAAACTTAAAGACACAAGGAAATGCATAGAATAATGAAAAAATATTGATTACCACTTTTTACAGTAGGATAAATATATCATACACTCAGCTAGCAGTACTTGAAGACATACCAGTTAAGCATGCTCAGTTTGGAAGTATTACATCACAAGAAAAATGGTACAAAGATGCTTGATAAGATATTTAGTGAACATTTCAGAAAATATATATCTAATTGAGTTGGCTATAAAACATGCCCCATTAAGTGACGACAAACACTCATGATGCCTACCTTCCAAGCTCTTATATTTTTCCATAACTCCTTAAACTCATCAAATCCTAGTTTGCCTGACATATCATCCTACAAAATGAATTAAGGGTTATAACACAAGATATGTACCATACAGTATATTTACATACAAGACACATGTTTATCATTTTCCAGTAAGAGTGACTGTTTATCAAATCAAATGAGGGTCTTGGAATGGGCCGATATTTCATGGATAAAAGGATTCTGTAATATATCGACATCTGATGATACCAAGATTGTATGATAGACTGATATTTTGATGGGTAAAATCCTGGAATGGGCTGTCATCTGTAGGACGAGAGAATCCTGGAATGAGCGGTTATCTGCAGATAAAGAGGACCCTGGAATGGGTGGTCATCTTTAGGCTAACAGGACCCTGGAATGGGCAGTCATCTGTAGGCTAAAAGGACCCTGGAATGGGCGGTCATCTGTAGGCTAAGAGGACCCTGGAATGGATGGTCATCTGATGGGTAAGAGGACCCTGGAATAGGCCGTCATCTGATGGGTAAGAGGACCCTGGAATGGGCTGTCATCTGATGGGTAAGAGGACCCTGGAATGGGCCGTCATCTGTAGGCTAAGTGGACCCTAGAATGGGTGGTCATCTGTAGGCTAAGTGGACCCTAGAATAGGTGGTCATCTGTAGGCTAAGAGGATCCTGGAATGGGCTGTCATCTGATGGGTAAGAGGACCCTGGAATTGGCAGGCATCTGTAGGCTAAGAAGACCCTAGAATGGGCGGTCATCTGTAGGCTAAGAGGACCCTAGAATGGGCGGTCATCTGTAGGCTAAGAGGACCCTAGAATTGGCAGTCATCTGTAGGCTAAGAGGACCCTAGAATTGGCCGTCATCTGTAGGCTAAGAGGACCCTAGAATGGGCGGTCTTCTGTAGGCTAAGGGGATCCTGGAATGGGCGGTCATCTGTAAGCTAAGAGGATCCTGGAATGGGTGGTCATCTGTAGGCTAAGGGGATCCTGGAATGGGCGGTCATCTGTAGGCTAAGAGGACCCTAGATTGGGCAGTCATCAGTAAGCTAAGAGGATCCTGGAATGGGCATTCATCTGTAGGCTAAGAGGATCCTGGAATGGGCATTCATCTGTAGGCT